GAGAACTACTAAATAATTATTTTTCAGAATAAAGTATTGCTGTAATTTACACACACAAAATAACAACAAAAGCAATTAAAATAGACAAAAGACATTTCACTGAAGAAGAATCCCAAACGGCTTGCAAACAAATGAAAAGATGCTAAACTTCATTACTAATCTGGAAATGCGCATTAAAAAGACAATAGCGTCCCATTTCACACTCATTTCATATTTAAAAATATCAAAAGCTAGCAAGAAAGTAGAAGCAGGAGAACCCTCTATACTACTAGTGGGAAAGGATCTAATAAAGCTATAGATATGCATATCCTAGAAGCTAGCAACCCTACTCCTCCCATATGTGTTCTAAAGAGATTTTACAAATGTGCACCAGGGTCCATGTACAAGAACGTGCATAAAGGCCGTTTGTATAAACAAAATTCTGGAACACAGCCAAATATTCAACAGCAAGATGGACAGATAAACTATAATGGAAGACAACGCCAGGGAAATTGTATACATGGATGTATCTCAGAAACAGAGTGTTGAGAGGGAAAAACATGTAAGTCTCTAAAGAATACCTAAGTGGAATTGTTCTGTGTGTTAAGTCAAAAACATGTGATAGTAAACAATCCGTTGTTTAAGGAGGCACATGTGTAGTCATCTTATAAAGAAAGGCAAGGAAACAGTGCACACGAGATTCCTCATAGCAGTTATCCCTGAGAGAAGGAACTGGATGGGACTAGGGAGAGGGGCTCAGCGCATTCCCAGGGTGAGAAAACTTTGTTTCTTAAGAAGGATGGTGAGGATATAAGGCTCATTGCATTGTCATTCTTTATACCATGTTAATATGTTTAGAAATTATTTTTGCATCAATTCCAAAAATTGAATGATTCAGAATAAAATTTAAAGAATTTTTTTCATCAGAAAAAACCCCAGAAGTTTGGGCAGCAGTGGGCCAGATTAGGACGCAGCTGCCCCTGCAGACAGCATCTCCATCCCGTGCTACACAGTATGGACCCCGAGACTGTTGTCCTCCTCACAGCTTTCTTAGGGCTCTTTCGTTCATGTCGCCTGCCTAGCCTTTGTGTGCCCCCGAGATCACGCCACTGCTGCAGAGCAGTGGCTCACAAGGGCAGTCCCGAACCAGCAGCAGCTTCAGCATCACCTGGTAACATGTCACGAGTGCAAGCGTCAGGTACCACCCTAGACAGAGGGCATCAGGCTCTGGGGCTGGAGCCCAGCGATCTGTTTTAACAAGCTCTCTGGGGGATTCTGGTGCATCTGCGAGCCCTGGTTCCTGAGGACAGGGCCCAGCTGGTCACCGCCCCTGCCGGCCCCTCTCCATTCTGAGTCCCGTCAGACCTCCCCCAGGAGAGGCGAGCTGCACCTGCTCCGAAGAGAGCGGTGCGCTTCCCGGAGCCCGCAGGACCCTCCCCTGCGCACCCGGGGGAGCCGCCTGCCGTTTCTCCCTGCTCGGTGCCAAGTAAGCCGCTGTGCTGTGAGACTGGTAACCCGTGGTTGGAGATGGACAGCCTCGCTTCGCTTCGCTCCAGCAGGGCTTCGTCCGCTCTCTGCTGGCCCCCCGGGACTCCCGCAGGGGCTTTCATCACCATGAAAAGACTAGCATGTGCGTAAACTCCCAACAAGGCCTAACAGCACAGGACCTTAAGATGGGCGGTGAAACAGAAGGCCAGTCACCGTTTGGTCTCTGCTTCCTCGGAGTAGTCAGGCCTGCCTTACTGAAGCCTTTGACAGTAGGAGACAGTTGCAGAGCAGCTCCCTCGTTCAGCACCCTCTGCTCCCAAGGCTGGGCGGGGGGGCGGGGAGGCAGCAGTCATTTGGCACCCACTCTGGCCTCGGAGGGCTGCTGCCGCCCTCAGAGCCCGCGGCGGTGAGCCCGAGGCACGTGAATTACAGAGCCCATCTGAAGTGCCGACGCCATCTGATAAACTTCTCCAAGCCCCAGATTTGTTTTGTCAAGTTCTTTCACCCCCTTCCCCCCAACTGTCTTTTTGGTATGAATCATTCACTTTGAATACTATCTACCAAATGTGAACACGTCCACCATATTCTGAATTCGATATCACCAATGTCAACTGTTTACATAAGTTTTGAGAAGTACCGCACACTGGGAAGTGTGTGTCGCTGAGCCACGTGTGGTACATCACCTGACCCTTATATACAGAAGCTGGTTGGGGAACACAAGGCTCATTCCGTGAAGAAAGGCGGCTTTTAATGACAAAGAACAGCATGAAGATGTGGTGGACAGGAAAGTGCAGTCCCTTTGGAAGCCGTGTGGCACAGCGGTCAGTGCACGGGCTTTGGTGTCCACTAAGCCTGAACTTGCATCTGGGCTCTGCCCTTTTACTAGATGTATAACCCTGAGCAAGTCGCTCGCCCTAGTTCCCTTGTTTGCACAGTAAGGATCACAGGAATCGCAAAGCCATAGGATTGTTGTGACGATGAAATGAGATGAGGCATATAAAGCAGCTGGCCCAGGGCCCATTACCGAGTAAGTGCTCAGTAAAACATAGCGGATGTTTGTGGCAAGAAATGAAACTAGCAAAATACATCAGACCAAATTCTCAATGGCTGAGTCAACTCAGAAGGTCGGATCTTTTCTGAGGAACTTGTGAAGGTTTTGGTGAGAAAAGTGATGTACTCAAAACTCACTTTAGGAAGACATGCTCGTGTGGGAAGGCCAGTGGAGAAGAGGAAAGGCGAGAGAATGAACTTGTGAGGCAGGTGAAACAGCGCAGGTGGGAGATGAATTAGCTCACTGACTGTGGAGAAGTCGTGAGGTAGCGGATCAAACGAGGGAGGGCGAAGGGGATGAAGACGGCATGGGGACTGTCACCTGGGGAAGGGGGTGGCAGCAGTCCCTTTGGGAAGAGCATGAACAACGTTGGAGGTGAGCAGGCAGTATTACCAACAGGGAAAATCAATAAGGGGAAGGTATCAATGTCAGTGAAAACAGAAGACGTTAGAGAGTCGGATAAGCAGGGTTAAGTCAGTCAGTCCTCACAGGACGGGGGCGGCGGGGGGCCGGGGGGAACACGATGCAAAACTGTCTTCACATTTCAAAAATGAGGGGGGTCAAGAGAACAGGAGGAGCTCAGGTGAGTTGGACTCCGTGTCTGGGCGAGGCTGCCCTGCGCAGAGCACTCCCTGTCGCTCTGGCAACGAGACCCCCTCCTGGTACTGCCATTACAGTGAGAACAGCCACATGCAGAGCCACACCTACACCAGCACCCCCCCCCCGCCCCCCGGTGGAGGTCTCCCAGGAGGAGAAGGTAGGGCTTGGGATTTTTGCTGTGCAGAAAGTGGGGAGGTCGGACAGGAAAGAATGCGTTATGGAGAAGTCCAAGCCAGCCCATGCACGAGTACTGGACCTGCGGCTTCTCTCTGTGATTCCGGTGGAGTCACAGTGGGGGAAATGTGAAAACCAGTGGAGAAGCCTGCTGCCTGGAAGCAGAGCTCAGGAGCCCAGGCCTGGGAGTGTGGAGCAGCCCTCTCGCAGCACCCGTGGGAGGTGGTGTGGCTCTCAGTGGGGACGTCCCGCCAATCAGCTTGCTCCCTCCCCCCCCCCCCCGACCCCGTGAAGCCCAAGGTAGGATTGCCTGAGGCACAGAGAGGGCAGGAGGCAGAGAGGGAGTCAGCAGGTGGCAGAGAGGGCGATGTCCCTTTCTAACACGTTCAAAGTGTCTGAAAGTGCCCTGGCCAGGGGCTCGGTTGGTTGGAGCATCGTCCCGTACACCAAAGGGTTGCGGGTTCAAGGGGGTGCGTATGGGAGGCAACCGATTGATGTTTCTCTCTCACATCTCTCTCTCTCTCTCTCAAGTCAATCATCATATCCTCAGGTGAGAATATTCTCTAAAGTGTCCAAAAGTTAGGAACACAGGAAACTGGACTGAATCAGAGCAGCTGGAGAGCCACACGGAGGCCCTTCCTCCCTAAGTCAGGACACTTTCTCTCTCTGCAACAGAGAAGGGGCCCTTTGTTCATTTGTATTTGGTAGTAATGTCAAACTGTGGGCTATTCAGTGGGTGGGTAATATTGTTCACGTGAAGTGAGTTAGGCCAAAACCCTTCTAAGGCGTATTAGCCTCTGTTTTGTGATAATAACTGACATAATTAAGTTACATACGATATTCATGAACTCTTTCAGGGCTATAGTTGTGAGTGTCCACAAACTCATAGGAATATGTAAGCACCACTGCCATCAAGAGACAGAGCAGTTGTATGACTGGCAACCACCCCCTCATGCCGCCTCCTTGCTGTCAAATCGCTTCCCGTCTCTAAGCGCCCCAGCCACTGAGCCGCTCTGAGTTTTCTTTTGACAAGTCTACTCGAGTAAGGCCTGAAATTTCTTTATGACTTGCTGGTATTACAACAATCGTAACAGTAGTGAACATAAGTGAATATGTATTATGCATTCCAACATGCCAGCTACTGTTTGAGGTACTTTATAGGTGAGGAAATGGAGGCTTTGAGAAATGCTGGCAAGGAGAAAAAAGGGAGGAAGGAAACGCTCCCCAAGGTCGTGGAGTGGCAGCCCCGAGGCTGTGGCTCGAGTCCACGTGTGTCTCACTCCGCCCCCACGGAAGACACAGAAAGGAGGACAGAGTAGGAGGAATACCTACCAGTTTCAGGAAGCACAGTTTAGACCTGGGATCGCCTTACTCTAAAAATAAACAAAACTTATACAAGAATGTGGTTAGTTCTACCAATGAAGCAATAATTGACTAGGGGTAAGATAAGAGGAAGCCAGGACCCTGGAACTCCCTCCTTACAACCTTTGTGACATGCACTGAGGGTAAAGCCCAGAGGTGCTCTCCTTTATCCGCTTGACCAAGTTTGTTCATCGAAGCTGGAAAAATTTGCTGCTCAAATACTGAAGTGCTGTTGCGGTGCTCTGAGCATCACACTTCCTCTTAAATTTTACACACACGCACACACACACACACACACACAGAAACTGATGTGGGATCTTTAATCTCAGCCTTGTGTGTATTTCAGATTGGAGTCCCCAACCCGGTCTCTGGTGATGGAGGCCCCAAAAGGAGTAGAAATAAATGCAGAAGCCGGCAACATGGAAGCCACCTGCAGGACAGAGCTGAGACTGGAGTCCAAAGATGGAGAGGTAGGGGGAGGGGAGGACAGAGGTCCAGAGACGCAGCTGCGACAAGCCAGCCTTTCCCACCACTTGTCTGTGCCTCCCTTCGCTGCCAAAGTGGACCCTACCCCGTGACGACACAAGGGGCCAACCAGCAAGTGTTATTTCTGAAACAGATACGTCGAGCAGGAAAATGATAAGCCAAAACCACAACTTGTAAAAATTATGAGTCATTATTTGTAAGATGCCGAGATAATAGCATGTATTGCAAGTACAGAATAATAGATATGGCCGTAAAGATGATTGCTGCTTCCGAATTTTGTCTCTTGTCACCTAAAATAGGATTTATGTAGCTGGAAAATTAAGCTATGCATCACGCACACACCTGGCGGAAGGAGAACTTAATTTACTTGCAGTCATTTGTAAAGTTTATGCTGCATGTTTCTACCTTCCCGGAGCACGGAGAGTCAGATCCAACAGCCAGCCCAGCCCAGACGAGCCGGAGTTCAAAAGACAAGGCCGCAGTGGGGCAAACACGCCTTCCCTTACCCCAGCACAGCCCCACTTCGGTGAACAGAACGGCTCTCTGTGTTTTTGCAAGCAGCGTACAGAAAACATGGTGCAACTGCAAACCTTTGAAACGCCTTCATGGTGTTCATAGGCAAAGTTTTCTATTTAAGAATTTTAAGAGGAGAAAAACGTATGATTTTCTTTTTTAAAGCAAAACTCGATTCTACCTTTTGTAGCTACAGGGAGGTGAGATCAGTCTTGAGCTGCTCCATATGCCAAGCCCACCTTTTCATAGGTTTGACATTTGCAGTATCTTTTTTAAAAGAGCTCGTCAGAGCATTCAGTTATCGAACCATCTCTTCAAATAGCCACAAACTCCAAGCCGCACACATTTAAAACAGTGACTACAGCAGGTACAGGTACCACCGTCAGGATCCAGATTATGCAGGAATCGGTTATGTCGTAACAGTCACTTAGGCCCAGCAAGTGTTGAATATTCTCGGAAGACTCACCGTGCACGCAGACATACTCAGGGTCTGAGGAGGCCCATGGTGAAGGAAATTGCTAAGCTAGCGTTTCCAAACTTACTTCACTCTGGGACTCTATTCACATTCTACATGATATACTCTTGCAAGATGCTAATATATGTAACATTGTCAGTGCAGTGTTGTCTCGCCAGAACAGAAGCTTCTGTGAGGGTGGCGACTTTTGTCTTACTCACCTCCACATGCCCAGTGCCTACAGTACTCAACGCATAGTATGTGCTCATTCGATTTAAGTTGAATTGAACATTCATCTACTATGTCTGAATGTCAGGAGAACACGCGCCAGCCTCTAACTCTTCCTTCCTATTTACTCTCTTTAGATTAAGTTAGATGCTGCGAAAATCAAACTACCTAGACTGCCTCACGGATCCTACACGCCCACAGGAACGAGGCAGAAGGTCTACGAGATCTGCGTCTGCGCCAACGGAAGATTATTCCTGTCCCAGGCAGGGACCGGTTCCACTTGTCAGATAAACACGAGTGTCTGCCTTTGAGAGACTCTCCATAGTGGACATTGTTGGCAGCGGAAGGCCTTTTTCTGGCTTGAGACACTGGCTGCCAGCTATTTTTACTAGAACACAGAAAGCCTATCAAAGACCTTGGGTGTGTGCGCGTGTGCGTGTATACGTGTGAATGTGTTTGCGTGTGTGGGTGGATATAAATATATATAAATATATATAAATAAATATATATATCCTCTGTATAAAATGAGGTTTCAGTACAAAAGGAACCATGGGTGACCCTGGATGTCCGGTCATTTCCATCCCCGCCCCTGCCCCCACCCCCAACATGGTAAAAATCAAAACACTAAATTCAGGCTCAGCATTCCCCAGACCCTTCAAAAGTCACTCAGTGTCCCGGACACTTGCCAAATGTTCATCCCTGCCTTTGAGTAACAGCATTTCTCCTCCTTCAGTGTCATTCCGGGGCAGTGATGGCGGGAATCTCCAAGTCACGCTCAAGCGCTGAGACCCTGGAATTAAAAATGGGCCTCTTAGTTTCCTTTCACGGCTTTAGTGAGGCTGACCACCTTCTCCCTCTTCAAGTTAGGGATGGGGCAGCTCAGCCGTAGCAGCTCGAAATGGCTGTTCTTCCTTTGCAGTCAGATGTTTGGGGGCTTCTGTAGTGGGATGAGTCAGGAGGGTGAATTTCGGCGAAGTGTGAACTGTGTGCGCCACTCCCGCTACCTTACTTCCTTCGAACTCGCATGCTATCCCCCAGTCAAAGCTGGAGTTATAAATCAGCACAAAACGGGATACCAGCTGCTCCTCAGTCGGCTGGAAGCTACTCAGTGGCCTTACAGGCAAAGAGTAAATGGGTAATATATCTCTGTTTAAAGGGGGGGAAAGGCTCGAAATCTGTTCCATCCTCACTTCTGACACTCAGTAGACTCCAACTCAGAATAATTGATCCAAAATTAACAGGAGGGCAGCCCTACCCCGAGAGGAGCCATTTGGAGAGAGAAGTCTAAGGGTAGCATCAGGAACCTAATTATTTTTGTTTCTTGGGATTGGTAGGTATTTTAGAGACATGCCTTTTATTTTCAAAGGCATGCACACACTGACTTTAATCTTCCTATATATATTTTTTTTTGATGTAGGGATACTCATATTCCTAAATTCACCATTATATTTTCTCCAAGAATAACAGATCTGAAGTACTACATGCCTCCTCCCCCCAGACATGCTCACTGAGATGTAACATCAACTGAGTCAAGTGTCTTGATCAGAATCACTGTGTCCCCTGGGCCCAGCAGCGACCCCCCACCCCACGTGCGGAGGCAGCCCTCTAATTCCCGCCATCAGCTACCACCCATCACGCCGTCCTCATCACCATGCTCCAGGGTCACCCTGGCCAGCTCTTGTGCTGGGACAGGGGATTACACCATCTCTGTTCAAAGAGGGGGAAATGTGCCTATGCCTTAAGTCAATGCACTCAGCAAGGAGAAGCACATCCTATTTATCTTGTCGTTTCCTGTAGTTTATTTTGGGTGATTGGAGGGGAATGGTTCAGTAATGACGGGGCATCTTAAAAGCAGGTCAGCGAGCCAAGTGGCTGACAGATGTGAAGTCTGAGGAGCCCAGAAGGGAGACACACCTGGCTCAGACAGTCCTAGATGCCACTTGGCCAGGATTGGCCCCACAGACTGAAATGAAATAGTAGTTGTAGGCCTGAATGGCTTTTGGTTTTCGGTTGTTTTTTGTTTGTTTGTTTGCTTTTTTTTATCCTCAACGAGATTCTAGTTTTTTCTTACTTCACAAGCAGGGTAAGATTTGTCATAGGAGATTAAATTTTAAAAAAAAAAAAAAAGGTAGGATATTGTTGAGCTGCCACTCAAGTATTGGGCCACGGTTTGCACACATGGGATGTAAGAGCAAGCTTTGTGTTGCTTAGTCGCCCAGAAGTAGGGGGAAAAGGGTGGTTCCAGTCTGACCACGGCCCTGCTGGCTTCCAGACCCTAAGCTCCCTCTAGTCACTCTTGCTCAGTGTCCCATGGAGAAGAATTGGGTTGTTCAAGGGCAAGATCATGAGATTGCTTGGTTTATAGCACTAGGATCTAGACAAGAAAACTCCAAAAAGCTATCAAGTTTCTGTGGATCAATATTTTATATCTATCTATCTATCTATCTATCTCCTGCAGGGTCATGCAGCCAGATTCTGCATTCACCACACACAGGTACCACGTCATTCAGGTGAACAGGTGTAGCTATTAGGTCCTTTGTGGCTGAATACCGGCAGACAAAGTTTTTTTCAAGAAGACACACCATCTTTGCACTTCCCCATCTTAGTACACAATCTACAAATGCCAAGGACACAAAAGGTTCCTGAACTTCTTTCCTCTGATTTTTGTCTAATCATTACATTGAAGACTGAGATAAGCACCTTGGGAATTTTATACCAATGAAAAGACTGGTGTAATCCCATTTACAAAATTTTACCCTAAAGGTATTCAGATCACAAATAAAATAGAAATAATAATAGCAGCCAAGAATAGAAATCAAGTACCTATGGGAGACAAACATGATATAAAATCCTAATTTTCATTTGTGCTAAGTGACCACAATATACCAGGTAATGAGCAGGAAATTTGGCATGGATTAAATTATGTATTTTGGTTCAGACTTTAGAACTTGATAAAATGCATTCTAAGTTCGTCAGTGTACATTTTTTTTCCCCCTACTTCCTTCAACTAGAATATTTGTCCATGGTCATGAGGGAAAGTTTTACGTGAGTGCTGGGAAAAAGAATATATATATATATATATATATCTTTTACATTAAAATCTGAGAACCTTTAATTTTAAAAAATGAGATTCTTTCTAATTTTTATAATGTCTTCTAGACAATCACACCTTTCAGCACATTGAGCAGCGGGTGGCATAACAAGCAAATCAAATGAATTTTTAATATTCTAGATGTTCTAGTATGTTAATATTCTTCAAAAGAGTTTTAAAAATGAAAAATTGATCTCCAAGCAGGTTTAGCGCTTATGTCTATTTAGCACTGAGTCATAACGTCTCAGTCCTGGGAAACGGCAAGGGTGTGACGGAGGTTTCAAAAGCCCTTATGGCGGCATCTGCATAGATGGCAACTTCACATGAGGCTTGTTAATTACGTCACCCAAGGAGCAGGTCTTATAAATGAATTGGTTTTAATTTCTCTTACATCAGTTTTCCTCTGGATCATTTTCATTGTCTATCCAGCAACCACAGACCAAAGATTGCTTGAGGCTTGATTCTGGAGCAGGGCTCAGCAAACTGTGAGACCCCTAAACCAAATCTGGCTCATCACCTGTTTTTGTAAATAAAGTCTTATTGTAACACAGCCACATCCATTGATTTACATGTTGTCTCTGGCTGGTTTCCTACTGTAACAGCAGGGTTGAATAGCTGTGCCGGAGATCTCCTGGCCCACAGCACATTAAAGAGCTCCCAATTGGCCTTTACAGCAAAAGTTTGCTGACCCCTGACGAAGAGGTCATTCGTGGTATGTGTTGAGCACGGCAGCAAAGGAAGCAGACCTCACGACAGCATGGAGTAAGCCTACATGCCCGCGTGTGCTTGGGGATATAAACACCTGGCTATAGACAAAAGGTTAGCCTTAGGCTGCGATTTAAAAAAAAAAAAAAAAAAAAGTGATCCACTTGTCTGAGAAATGGAGGCTCACAGGATCTTGGGAACAAGGAGGCAAGAATTCAGGGGAAGATGGGAAAGGACAGGAAAATTGTGATCGTCCAAAAGCTTTTTCCTTGGACCCTTAATAGATAGGAGGCTCCTCCTGTCTGTGTCTTATGTGGCAAGGAGGGGAGCAGGGGTCCTGTGATTTAAATTTAGAATCCCCTCCCTAAAGAGACTATTTCTGCAGTCTCTACCAAGAGGTTTCCTCCTCACCTTCCCCAATTCCCAAAAGACGCCCATCCACCCCCTGGTCCTCCAGAGAATGTTTTTGACTGAACATCACCACCTCAGTTTCTCACCTCCGATGTACTTACTATCCTATGACCACACAAGGCCAGAAAGACTAGTGAGACCAATAAGTAACTAGAAATATTGCAAGAAGCATCTTTAAATAGGTAGGGAAAAAAATAAGAGAACAATTCTTTCATGAAGCTGTTATTGGAAGGAGCCAGGCTAACTCCGGTTTGATTTTTTGTCTCCAAGGCCCTGGGTCTCTGTGCTTCGCTGTAGCGGGAGCGCAAAAAATCCCATGTGGGAGTCTGTCTCCATCTGCGCGGTGAGGCAGGTTCCCACCAGAGGCGTGCCCCTTCCATCAGCATCCCTACTGCGAAATCAGGGTGCTCGTATCCGCTACTGTTAGAATAGCACCAGTATGAATGAGCCTTTGGAATCTGAGTATTGTGTTGGAGAGGAAAGGTTTTTTTCCCTCAGTGAAAACCACCACCATTTTGAGACCCTAATCAACCTCACTTACGGAGCGCTTCAGCATTTTAATCTCCATCCAACCGAAAGAGGATTCAGTTGGCAGCCCCACCCGTCACAGGAGAGACTAGACAAAAATTTCTTGCTTTTGTTTATATTTTTAGGTAAAAGGTAGCATGATGCTTGGACAAAAGAGATAAATACATATTCAAGGAAGCAAATGAACCTTATTCCTAAGGTTCTACGAAAGGTGGAAATCCCATTTGAGTACGTTGTCAACAAGACCCACTTTCTAGCTTTCCCCTGCACCAGGAAATCTGAGGCACAAAAAGGATAACAAAGCAGTTCCTGGATTGATACATTTGCTCGGTGCCCCAGTGGCAGGTGAGGGGAAAAAGTTAAAAGAAACAACCTTAGAAAACAGGCCTTTTATCTCAAATATAAAATGGCTCCCCTTTGGTCTTTCATCACTTTTCATGGAAGGTTCTCCCATTTCCAGCATATTTCTATTAAAATAGTCAAAGCTACTGCATTGGGATGTCGGATGCACATCTTTCTTTGTGGTAATCAGAATTTAAAATTACACAGTTGCCTCTGAATTTCTCATTCACAAAGAGCAACCACTGATAAGAGAGAAAGCGGCCGGAAGCCTGCTGCTTCGGCCAGCACAGCGTACGGCCCGCGCTAGCACTTTCAAAAGCAACGTGGCTTCTATGGTTCTTAGAAGCTGTCTTCATAATGGAGACCTTGAAACTTCTCGAGGCAGATCTGAATGGCAAAGGGAAGATAATTATTGGTGGGAGGTCCTTGTTTTGCGTATTGTCAGAGC